TTCCTATAACAGCTTTTCAGCAGCCCATGAACCACAGTTTAGATGAGATCTAAAGTTTTTGCAAGTGAAATCTAAGGCCTTTCAACACCACCAGCACAAATAAATTCAGTCAGCAGATGAAAATAAAAATGAAAATATGCTACAGTCACTTTCTGCCAGCCCAATGCCAGCCCTCAGCAGTGCACAGCACAACCAGAGATGAATGCATAGGGTGACCTGCACTACAGTGATGACAATTCCATTCTCTGTCTGCCAGCTACAACAGATCACCTGCTGACTAAAAGGAGTTCCCATTCCAACAACAGAAATTACATTAAAAGAAGGAGGAAAAAAAAAGCAACTCAGTAGTCTTTCCATTTCATTCAGATTAGAGGCACTGGAAAGAGACAGTCCTACTTCTTGCATCCATGGACAGCTCACAGGACCAAGGATTCTGAAGTGCTTTAATTCCTCCCCTGCTACTGCCTTTTGGGTGACATTCAGAGCTCAGTTAACCTAGATATTTAACTGTATAGACTGCAACTTCTTCCCCACGTCATTTCCTATAACTCATCATCCACCTGCTACTGATATATTAGATTAATTCATAATAAACTTGCTTTATACAATGGCGGCACAGTTGCACAACTAACTTCATATTGGCAAAATGGAATTATGAAAGGATGCTTTCAGAATAGTATAATGCTTTAAATTTAAATCTGAGGAAACCACATTGAAAGAAGAAAAATAGTATGGAAGATATTTTAGCAAAGAAAAGCTTAATAAAATATATGCTTTATTTTTTTTCCTGACAGCATAAGGGATTTTTTTAAGACAGCAGAAAATTAAATCTCTTTCATTAACCTAAATATAGCTGTAAATTATTTTCAGTGGAAATGGAGGCTTTTCTGGTTAAATGTTCTGATGTTCTCACTGATTTAGTGAGTTCTGTTACTCAGCCAGCAAAAGGATTTCTTAGGACAACTCAATAGGTTTTCTCATGTACTGCCAGGCTAATGGCTAAGACCCTTAGATGGAGTCTTTGGCATGGATCCAGTCATGCTGATTTCATCTGTCGTCAACTCTGGAAAGTGGACTTGAACTCAGAACCCATACTACCAATCATCCACACACATAAACATTGATCGTGATAATTTGCAGGAGTGGAACCACACAGCTAAATATCAATGGAATTTTCCTTCCTGATCTCAATTCTACTGATTAAAATGTAGCTGCATTTCCAAGTCAAGTGAATCATTTACATATGCCACATGCAAGAAAACTAGATAAAAACATACTTTATTATTACCTGAATTACCTAACTCAAAAATACAGACACAGCTGTCAAGTTGCTAGTTTGTTTTTCAATCAGAACTTGCAAGTTGTTTATTGTTCTGTATATTTTGTTCTTCAAAGAGTAAGTTCACCAGCATCCTCTTGAATACTCAGTGCCATTCTGTATGACATTTTTTGCACTTACAAAAAGCCTGAAATGTCATAAATCTAAAGCTCTCTTTAAAACTGCAGTGTAACCATGACTAAAAAATCTGCAAAACTGACACTTTTACTGTGCTATGTCTGTACTGATGCACTACTGGAAAAGCAGCCATCTTTTTAATTGTCACTATACCTTTTTTAGAAACCTAAACAAGTGTTTTCTATTGATCTTACCAAAACTCCACAAAACTATGTATTTTGTTTAAAAGCTTTCATCGAGTAAACTCTAAATCACTGTTTCACACCACAACTTTGAATAATATATATATTCAGAGAGAATATGTATCATAAGGTTAAATGCAACTGCTGAACATTCTGTAGATGAAAGGAACCAGAATTTTGCATATCTATCTGACTTGTGCTAATACAGTAGATATTATTGTGATTTCAAGCTTTGTACTTGTTTATCATTAGTGTTTCCACTGTAACCATGGCATTCATATATAGCACAGGCCTAAGAGTGAGAAAAATATCCAGTATTCTCCTAAAAAAATAATCTGAGAAAAAGATATAAGGATTTGAACAATGGCAAAAGGCAATCAAATTTGGTGATCTAACTAAAATGAGAAACAGTTTCCTCTTAGGGGGAAAAAAACCCAAAGCATTATTTTTTGTGAATCTTTTTTTGCATTTTGGACTTATGACAAGAACCTAGAAACCTAGAAACATAACCTTGACCCTAACACAGATATTATAAAACAAATTCTGAAATTTCCTTTAAAAAACCCCATACAGTACAACATGAGATCAAAAGCATTAAAGCTATTAATATGTTGACAAGACCTGTTCTCAGCACATGAACATTTTCTCAACCCTCTTTTAGTAGTGACTGTCCAGTCCTGCAATAACTGTTGCATGATTTTGAAGGTAAAAAGGGGCAGCAGTGCAATTACTCTGATCATACTCAGCAAGTACTTGGTACCCAGTTCCAACTTTCAGGACTGCTTAAAGGGAAACCCTCAAAATAGCATAAAAAGAATTGATGGTTTTCAAGTCTGTTTCAAGTGTGTAGGTTGAATTTATTTGATATTTCAGGCAATAAGGAAGAATGGGTTACTGTGATTGCTGGTTTTAATTTGCTTGTTACAGAGTTCAGAAAGAGTATTACAAAAATATCTGCCTTAAATGCCAAAAGTGAAATGAAGGAACTAGTCCTCTTATTAAAGAGAAAAAACTGACTGTATCATACCAGCAGATGTTAGCCTAATATTGGTTTAGGTCATGTGCATTTTCCTTGTAGTGTGAAACTCATTCACTTTGCAGACAATTCCTTTTTCAGTTTTAACACAGACTCCAGACACTGATGAAGATACCAATAAATCTATTAACTTCAGTATGGACTCTATAGAGATGTCATGGCCACAGGTCTTGTAACTCAATAAAAAAAAACCCAAAACTGGTGCAATTTTGTAAGTGTCAGTTCGCTGAAGGTCCCTATCTAGTAATCCAATAAACACACTCAATATTGCCATTACAACAATGCACTCAGTAAATAGGAAGATTTTGGAAAAGTTAAACACAATCCTATAAATACTTACCACCCCACGCCCCCTGCCATTCTAACTGTGATACAGGGGGAGTGTATGCTGTCTTTGTAGTACGTGAACACAATCCTAATGGTAAGGATTTAGAGTACAAAACAAGCTAAGTGATGTTTTCAGAAGCTGCATTACATTGACCAGTTATGATCCACTGCCATGTCCTCGATTCTGTCACATCAACAGACAACAAGCGTAGTCACTCCCTCGTCTCCTCCCACCCACTGAATGCTGGACAGCAATGAATCCTGATGCAATAAAAGCCAGCATTTATCTGATTCAGCTATCTAACTCCTCACAGATCCTGTTTACAATGGACCTCAACCTGTTAAATTCCACTATTTATCTAGGGAATGTGTTCAGACATTTGAGTTCACCTTAAATATCAGAGACAGGATGCACCACAGTCCCACCAAAATTCAAACTAGGATCTGGAATCTGCAAGGTTCTTCCAGATTCGGTGACAAACTCACAACATGTACCATGCACAAAAAGCACACACAGATTATTATTCTTTCACTAAAAATCTGTGCAGATCTCCTCATCCCACTGGTCTCAAAAATGAAACCTCACTTGATTTCAGGAGAGTCCCAACTTGATTATCATTCAATACAGGTAAAAGATATCTGCAATACTGCTGCATTTGTCTTTTCCTATTATAGCTATTTTTCCTCCTTCTATCACCCACTTTTACCATTTTGAGCTTACTAATGTGTAGCTTTTATAGAGCATCAGAATAATCTAGACTCTGATTATCACAATGCAACACATAGGCAGTAAAAATAAAAAAATATTTCAAAGTTGTAAACATAAAAGTTTAACAGCAAAGTTGATGAGCTTCTAATCAGCATAAATAGAGTCTAATTCTTTCATTCCCTTTCATCATTTCCCCATCTCTACATCACTGCATTAAGCAAAGAAGCCCCAAAGAACACATAAAACTCAGACCTATTAACCCTAGCTATTTTTCCTTTGGTCCTGGGTTCTTCATCTCTTTGCCAAAAAATTACTAGCTAGTATCCTTGACTGTGAAAAATAAATACATTAAAAAATGAGCATATATAATTTCAGATGGCTGGTCAAGCAGGGCACACTGAAAATGAGATGATCGCTACTATTGTTTTATTATACATCTCATTTAAAGGATATCTACTATTTAACTGTTTAACTACTGAAATGTGAAATGTGCAAATTCACATTTCTTGTTTCTTCATTGTTTGATTGATTTCTCCCTGTTAAATCACACTACCTGAGGATGTCAGAGCATGGATTTTCCAGCTTTTTTGTATTCCCACTGAGGCACGTTAGCCTCTGGGTCTTAAAGATGCTGTGACAGCTGTTAAGACACGTTGTCTGTACAGACAACAGAATTTCTCTAGCTGGGCCCAAATTCCACTAGGACCCTTTCATCAGTCGAGCATTTGAAGAAGCATTGCGTTAGATCTACGCATAGAGGTGTCGATCATCTGAAGGAAGGAAGGAGGAGCATCAGTGTTGATGCAGTGAGCTCTCAAGTGACAGGAAGACCCTGAGATGTCTCGTATGAGAGGTCAGGTCTGGATTTTTAAGATTCATTATTGCCAGGCTAACCAAGAGTATTCACCCTGAAACGATGAAACTCACCTAGGCGCTGGATCTGGGTTTTGCGATAATGTTTGGTACGGATGCATTTGGTTTGGGTTCTTCAGACTCAGTAAGACAACTAGATTTGTATTTATGTCACATAATTTCAGAAACTTGCATGGTAACTACATACCTCTTCCTTAGATTCAGCATATTTTTCTTTCCTGCCTCGCCTGTAGATAACATGCATTAGTTATATAGTAACCATGACTATCTCAGTATAACAAAGTGTGAAAATAATGAAAAGCCTTCAGAGGCACTACATGCCCTTGGTAACCTAGCTCTGCAAGACAGATGTTGCATCTAGAGCCATGCCACTGAAAATCATATGTACATGTATGTATCTACAGCGTGAACACTTACCCAGTCCTCGAAGTGACGGCTCCCGTTCTGCAGCAAGTCCTCAAACTGTATAGTGCAGTTAGCTACAAAATCGTCGTACCCGATGGGGGCATCATGGAAAACAGCCATCTCTATCTTCCTGCCATTACAAACGTCGGTGACAAATTCATCGTTCCAAGCAGGACTGTTGGTCTTTTGCTTGGTCGAGGTCTGCCCGATCCTGGAGTCGTCCACATTGAGGGCGATGTAAGGGTCCAGCAAAAAGGTCTGTGGCCTGGGACCCACCGCATGCCTCAGAGACCACGCCGTGGGTTTCAGATTCACTGCCTCGCAGATCTTGATTTTCAGCAAGCCATTGAAAACCACCATGGCTGGATAGCTGCACTTTTCCCGGGATCAAACACTCGCTCAGCACTCGCACCGAGAGGGAGGGAGGGAGGTCTCGCCAATAAATAGGAGGGCAGGTCTGGGAGGTGGGGGAGCAGGGTCTCTTCGCCCGGCTGCTGCTGTTACCTTTGATTATTTAGCCTTTGCTCTTGCGACACCCAGTGAATACATTTATTTTCTTGCCCGTGTTTCTAACGGAAAACAAGGGAGGGGGGCCGCCAGGGAGGGGGAGGCGGCCGCGGCTGCAGGAACCCCCGAATGCTATCAAAACCCGGGCATAATCAATCCGGGGGCTAAACAAGAGCCTTCTCCCTTCACCCTGACCATAATCCTGGATCAGTCCTCGCAGAGGAAGCAGAGCCGCGAACCCGGGCTCCCGCACACGCCAGTCCTGCCCGTGCGCCGCACAACAATACACACACACGCATACACACACACACACGCACACACACACGCACACACACGGATCAGAAACACCGGCCGACCCACCAGCCCTGCCTACTGCACAGCCTCCGCTCAGCAAACATCCACCCGGGGACCTTCCATCCGCGCCGGCCGCAGCCGCCCGTCCTACGCCGCCGCCGCCTCCTGCTCCGCCGCCGCCAAGGCCGAGGACCCAGCGGAGCGACCCCCGCGCATGGGGGGCGCCGGCAGCGGAGCGGCCCGCGCGGGTCTCGGCGGGCTCCGGCTGGGCGGCCGCCGCCCTGGCGATGGGCAGAGCCGCCGCCGCCGCCTCCCTCCCGCCTCCCGCCGGCCGCCCCCCGCCCGCCTCCCGCCCGCCGCCTCCCCTCGGCCGCCGCCGGCCGCCTCCCTCCGCGCAGCCCCCGCCCGCTGCCGGTGCCGCTCCGCCGCTCGCTCCAGCGCAGGAAATGCGCAAAAGACGTCAGTGTGTGTGTGTGGGGCGAGCGAGCGGCGGCGGCGGCAGCCCCGGCCGTGCGCGTGTGTTTCTGTGTGTGTATGTTTGAGTGTAGAAAGTTTTGCTGTTGGGGGAGCAGCGCGGCCGCCACCAGCCGGGAACCGCAGCGGGGGTCGCGTTCCCCGGGCTGGACTTGCCGCTCCTCCACACCCGCCGGGCGGCTTTCCGCTGGGGACACTGCCCGCCCCGGCCCCGCGCCTCCTCCGCCGCCTCCTCCTCCTCCTTATAGGATATAGTGGTGAACCAAAGGTGGATAACGCGCCCCCGGCCGCCTTTATTAACGTGCTTGGCCCCCAAGGTCCTGTGCGGACCGGGACCACCACTCACACCGCGCCGGGCGCTTCTGGCGCCGCGGTGCCGGCGGACGCCCCTTCCCGCAGGGCTTCCCGCCCCTCGCCCTTCTCTCCGTGATCCCCGGGACGCCTCTGCCCGAGCCTGACGGGCAGCGAACTCCGCCGCCCCCACCCTGCCCCGCCGCCTGACAGCGCCGAGCCCCGGCCCGCGTCTCCGCCACCCCCGCCCACCGCGGCAGCGGCACAGACAGCGCTACGTCAGCGGGGGCCGGGCCGGGCCGGAGGAAGAGTTTCCCCGCGGTGTGCGAGCGCCGGGAAGTGCCGAGCTCCGCCAGGGGAAGCGGCCTCCCGGGGCCCGCCCGGCCCAGCCCGGCCCGGCTCGGGTCGATCCGAGCCGGCCGGGAGGCGCTGCCTGGGCTGGGACAGAAGCCGCCTGTTGGCCGCCCGACGCCCCGCGGCGGTGGGGCACTGCCGGCCCCTTTGTGTGCCGCGGTCACCTGGCCCGTGCCTGCCCCACCTCAACCCGCGGCGCCTCCCCGCTGCTCCGAGCTGGCGCTGGGCGGGAGACCGCAGACGGTCCCCACTGCCATGCAAGTGTACTGAAAAGGGGAGGAAAAACACCCCAAAACCATCTGAAAGGGTAAAAGGGTGTGCGTACCGTGTTCTCGAACACTATCTGCACGTCATAAAAGATTTTGGTAATTTTTCATCACCATGGTATCAAATACCCTATGAAATACCCGTGAAGCACGTGCAGCCTGACTTTGTCCTCCTCAGAACAAACGTAGTCGGGATCTGGATGGTTTCCCATGGTGAAAATTATTACTGCCTTAATTATTTTTAGCCACTGATTTTCTCTTTGTATGTGTGTGTGCTTGTGTTGAGAAAGTTACCAGGAAATGGACAGACTTTGCCCTTTGATGGGATTTCAGTTCGCTGTAGTATCACAAGAGAAAAGGCATCAGTCCTGGCACTGGGGAGAGAGCTGGGTGCTTCGAAGAATCAGCCAAAGTAGAAAGAAGCTGGATTGCCTAGATGCAGTTGAATAAGAACATAAAAGATGAGCACCCAGTCCTTGATCTGGACCTGATATTCCTGACTGGAGAGGAAAGAACAGATAATTATGGATTTCTGCAGATAATGGCTCAGGAGGCAGGTGTTATATTTGGAGCTAATGAAACAGCTCCAGTATCTGTGCTTCCAGAGCAGTTTCCAGATAGGAGATGTGGTACTAATGAAGCCAATGGGTCATGAGAGCATTTGTGTTAATGGAAGACAGACTTTCTGGTGCCTGTTGCCACTTAGTCTACTAGTCAAAATAGAAGTACAGTAAAATCTCAATGTTCATTGCCATCTTGACAATCTCCAAGCAGGTTCGTTTGATACAAAACTCTGGTATGGAACCAATTATGGGAAAGGTCTTCCTTTGCAATTCAGCCTTTCCTGGGCTCACAGCAGCTGTGATGTATCTATCATGTCACTTTTGTAAGAGACCATACTTGCAGGCCCCACCAGAAATACAAGACCTGCTCCCTTCCTCCCAGCCCCATTCCCTACCTGATGCATATAGTACTATATATTAAGCCATATGGTCTTAAATTTAGTGTGTGAGAAAGAACACTGTAATTAAATATTTTGTCTGGATATCTTTGTGTTTTTTTCTCAATAGGGGCAATGTAAATAGTATGCTCCATTTCCTTAGATACTTATTGGAAAACATGAAAGCCAAACTGATACACTGTTTAATTTTTTTCTGGTTATTTTTAGAGAACTACAACTGTATGTATTCTGTTTGCCCAAGGTAAGTAAACAGAGTCTCCATGGTGAGTTTAATGACCTAGCATCTCTCTGAGATTACACATGCATATTGCGAAAGTCTGAATAAATACAGACATTATTAGCACAGCATACAAAATAATAAATAGACCTTATATTTGGCTAATTACACATACCGTCTACTGTATACCTAGCTAGGCCCCGATCCCTAATTTGAGCCATCTGCACTTTTCCATACACTGAAGCAAGCTAAAGTTTGGTCTCACAAATTATTTCTTCTAAGAATAAATGTCTGCCTGCATGAACAGGGATTTACAAGCTCACTTAGGATCAGACAGCTCCAGCCTTGCACTATTTAGGAAAATACAAATATCTTGCAGAGTTTTAATTTAGTTTTAGATTTAGGTGGGTTTTTTTGTTTAGTTTGGGTTTTTTAGATTATATTTCAGAAAAGCATGTCTATGTCAAGACTGAACTTCTATCACTAAGCGGTTCTTAACCAAATTACCCTGGAACAGTAGTCTTAAAATCCAGTAACTCAGATACATGGAGCAACATTACAATGCTTCTTGGAAGTTCATCTAAAAACTTGGCTCAGCAGTCTCAAAAACTCTAAGTAATAGACAGCAAAGAACATTGCAACTACAGGTACCATTTTCCACTTGAAAAGTTTTTAATATTTGCTTGCTTTTTCCTGTTTTCTTTCTGTGCATACAGAAGGATTTGGTTCTTTAAGAGCAGAAGAGCAAAAGCTATTCTATTTTGCTCAGGGAGATCTGGAGAGGAAGATGCAGCACTTGCAGTATTTCTCCAGCAGAAGGGCAGTAAGAAGTATTCCAGATGCATTTCTGTACTCTGTTGCAAAGGCTGCAGCAGCGCAGTAAACCATGGCCCTGAAGTTTTATTATGTTTTCGCTGGTTTTCCCAGAATTGTATTTTTTTTTTTTTTTAATATACAGAGGGTCTACAGGGTATCTGTAATCAGGACTGGTTAAGGTGATCTGTCTACTCTCCAGAAGTAACTTTTGCTGGTAGAAGCCCCTTTGTTCAGCACTCTGAGAGCAAATAGCCTTTGTGTCAGGGTTGTTCTCCGTGTGTGCTGCTCAACTGGAAAAGGAAAAGACCCCTGAGAGATCATAAAAACACAGGCTAATCAGCTTCTATTTTCATTCTTACTTTAGGAGAGAGGCTACATCAAACGGATAAGGGATAGCAGCAGCGGCAGCGCCAGCACGCCGTCACCTGCGGCCAGCGGCCTCGCAAGGCACGGTTTTACTCCCGCAAACGCCTCTTAGGCTGCGCTGCCCTGTGTCAGGTAGTGGCGGTGGCAGCGACAAGGAGGGACGAGCAAGCTGTAGGCAGCCTGTAATCTCAGACAGTCCCTGACCTTTCCCTGGCCTGTGCATCCTCCATAGCTCTGTGGAGAAACAGCACTATCTGGTGGAGAGAGCATGTAAAGTCCTTCCAGGAGTGGCGTTAGGCTTAATTCTATTCTTGCAGCCACAACTGAAACTGGGTTTGAAGTGTTGTTGCTCCAGATTGATAGATAGCTTAACTGCATTTTCAAGAGGATTAATTTTTTTTATAGTCCCATTAGTCCTAAAAAAACTGTTCAAACATTGGAGAAAAGTCAGCAAATTTTCAGAATTTTCCAAGTTCAGCAATATGAAAGAATGAGAGGAGATTTTGTGTTGTTTTCTTTTTAAAAGGAGCATCATTTCTTAGAGTTATACTAAACAGATAGACAAGGAATAAAATCAGGCTTGAATGCAGGAGAGATTTTTGGAAACACCTTTATGTAAAAAAATGAAATTAAAGCCAGACCCCTCATTATAGCCCCTGTGAAAACTGAGGAACTCTGAATCCACTCTGGACAAGAATATATTCCAAGAATATGAAGATATTCATTAGTATGAGTATATCCACTGAATTCCTTTGAACTTAATGGATATGCTTATGCAAGTGCAATAGTTAGGAGTTCGTGGAATCAGTCCCTTCCTGGCAAGAAATCAAAGATGGCTGTCAAATTCTGACTATCTTTGAAAGTCAAATTTTTATTTAGCATCTAATTTTAGAGGCACAGTTATGAAAAAAAAAGCATCCTCAAGAGCATTTTCACTCCTGTCATGATGCAAATGATCTTTTGAGTGTATCAATAAATAATCCATCTTTTCTAAAAATGAAGAAAAAGACCAGTCTTAGTGAGCTTGGTCCAGCCTCCAAATCCATTCCAAGATTTCCTTTGTGTCCAGCCAATTTCCTACTAATTTATTCTTCACTCCAAAAGTATGTACCTGGGGAAGTTTCTTAAGGCACTCCCAATTCTCCCTGTGAAATGTCTCAGCATAAGGGATCTTGTCAATGAGTGATTAATTAGATCTACAACTCTCTCTCTAGTGTAATTATACTTTTGGTAGTCTTCCCAACCTCTTTTAAAAGAACATACTAAACACTAGCTGAGTGTGTTAGCTTTCACTGGGAATAAATCTCCGAGAGTACATCTGCATGGATTTGCAGATTTAAGGTACATGGTTCTGGCGGGCACGGTGACATGGTGACTTCAGTGCAGTGTCTACCAGCCAGGCTGTTCTCAGGTATGCACCTGGCTTGCTAGCCAAG